CCCTCTGATAAGTGTAAATTGGCACGGCTCCCATAGTCGAAAGCTATGAATACACAGTGCCATTTAGAAAGTGGTCGAATGTAACAAATGTTATGTTTGGGATAACACTTGGAAACTTTCTTGGACTCAAGCCCAAAAAGTACTAGAATTTGTAATTTTCCAAGAAAGTGCTATCCCAAATGTAACATTTGTTTTACTGATGTTTATCTGTACCATATTGAAATAAACTTGTCCCCATATAACAATGAGAATAATACAATGGCCTGCCTATACACAAACATATACACTATTCACACTCGGTCACGGACATTTCCGTCTTTTCAGCATACATAGAGATTATAATATGAGGTTGTGTGCCGTGCTGATTTTGACATGAATATCGAAAGAATTTCTCCTGCCAGAACGAGGGGAATACATGAATTCTAATCATTTTTTAAATATTTTTTCAAAATATAAATAAATTGAAAAAGTAGTGTCTTCTATATAAAAAATGTGCCTTTGACCTAAAGCTTATACCATGACGTTACTAATTATAAGCATATGTGAGGATGGATGGTAGACTAACGCTATATCTCTGAAAATATATGATTTTGATAGAAACAAATAACTCCGTTTACATTGAAAAGGAGCCCCAGTGAGATGGAAGATTCAGAACCCGAGGAACATCTAGACTTGCTGTGTAGAGCTGTAGCAATGCAGTAAGGGCTGGGCGGAAGGGAAAATACTATTGTTCAGGGACTGTGAGACAAACTAGATGGATAAGTGAGCGTGCTTAGTGTCATCAAAGAGTAAAAAACATATTACTTTCTTCTCAAGAAAATATATGCTTTGAAAATTGTCTGATCTCTCCGCCGGAAAAGTGGTGACGCGAAATATTAAAAATTAGAACTTTTCTTTCTTTCTTACGAGATGAAACAGGCAGAAAGCAAGAGAACTAGAACGTAGGGATAGGATGTGTTCTTTATGTAAGCAACATGACTTGGGTGATGAGTATCAGTATTTGTTATTAATGTGTAACTGCATGAAAATCGTTACAAACAAATTATTATATCAAAGGTCTGATATAATAAAATTGAAACACTTATCCTCTACCTTAAGACATGGAATATTACGTAAAATTGCAACATTTTGTCAAATCTTTTAAAATAGAAGTTTTCACGATATAGATATTTTAATCATTTATTTCAAATATATGACAATTATGCGGTGAGATATCGGCCAAGAGAGTTTTCCGTGGGCCCAGGGGTCGGACGTCAGGTTTAGATACGGGGTAACTGGTTCACATACACCTCCAGCTTGTAAATCTCACAGGCGCAATACAGGCTACTCTCTCTCATGCCATCAGTGGAAACAGACTGTATATGTAATAAGTTGTAACACCCTCACTGTTCATGTCGTCACACCTCAACAGTACCTGAAAAACCTCCTCTACACCACTACCAACACGTTTACAGCCAGGCAAGAAGCTTGGACAGACTGTACGAGTCGTATATGTCATAAGTTGTAACACCCTCACTGTTCATGTCGTCACACCTCAACAGTACCTGATAAACCTCCTCTACGCCACTACCAACACGTTTACAGCCAGGCAAGGAGCTTGGACAGACTGGAGTATATGTGTTTATTGTCTGTAGATAGGGCTCTTGTGCTAACATTGCCTGCAGTCACACACTTAGACCTGAGTTATAAATTACAGGTGTTCAACATAACTCACACAGCGTTATTAACGGCGTACTTGTTGTAAAGTTATGTCGACTTAATTTCGATATTCTTATACATTTCACGATTTTTTTTAATTTACATATGGTTGTATTTGCTTGTACCTGATACCAGTACTATGTATGTCGACATTGTGTGGTATTACACTACACACACCTCGAAGTTAAATATATAAATATATTCAGAAGCTGCAGGCGGTGTTGACCTGCGGAATATAACTTCTTCTATTCTTTCCATGGGACGTTTCGGTACCTCTTCTTTTTTACTTTATCAAACAAGTGAAAATATAAGTCAAACCCTGTCATTAAAGTTAAATATGACCGTAATCTATGTTCCACCGGTATAAAGTAATTGTGTTCAATTTCAGCACAAACATTTTCCGGCAGCGCTGAAGCCGTGTAAACCGGCTTCTTTTTTACGTCTATCTTCCAAAAAAGATTTGTTTTTTTACAGAAACGTTTGTGGTCCAGATGGATATATCTGTTCATTTCGTAAATCCATGTCGTTCTACGTGAATACTTTCTATGTCACAACCAATCTCAGTAACACAGATCTTAGATCTTGCTACCGCTAAACAAAGCGAGAAGTTAATTAAGAGTTTAATGAGATTGTTACAGATCTGGTGTAACATGTGCTCAGACCGTTCTAAGTTTCTACAGTCTAGTCACTCTGTCCACAGGAATCTGAAGTACTGGTCTACCTAATTGTGCTTTGTCTATAAAGAGAGTCACTGATGGTAAAATATACTCAATAAAATGTCATTATTTGAATCTAACCGCTGGATTCCTGTGCTCAGTACACATTTAGGGGGTAGCCGGGGGTAGCCTTGTGGTTAAAGCATGTGCTCGTCACGCCGAAGCCCCGGGTTCGATTCTTCGCATGGCACAGTGCATGAAACCTATTTCTGGTGTCCCCAGCCGTAATAGTTCTGGAATATTTTCTGAGAGCGGCGTAAAACCATACTCACACACTCGCTCTGGCATGTATGTGCTACAGCTGTATATCATGACCAGTTCTTGTATTGCTCACATGTGCATCACCAAGGCTGTTCACTGGGTTAGGATGTCAATTGTTTTTTACAGGAGTACAATATATAAGTAACTTTAGATAGATATACATAGAACAATTTAAGACATTAGGCATGTTTAGATTAACACCAGGATGAAGGGTTTTAGAACTCATTCATGAGTATAGAGGTAAATTTACATAAATGTCGCAAGTGTTTAGAATTGTTTTTGGAAAATAGTCCTGCCAATTTATCGGTATTGGGGAACTTATAATAATATTCGGGGATTATTGTTATCCTTAATTAATCTTAATATGCATTCTATCCAGAATATCCATTTATGTAAAATGCAGTGACATTATATTGTGTAATGTGCGCTGTGTGTATAAACAGGACGGAAATATAGCCACAAAATTTCAAACGTAAATGTTTTTATAGCAAACGCAATATCACTGCTACCTGTTTTACTAATATGATCACATATGCGACTCGTGTAACGCGAAGGGCAATGTAAACTCGTTCATTATACTTTACAAGGGTATTAAAGAGCCACACTTCTAGTAAGTGAGTATGGTTTTACGCCGCTTTTAGCAATATTCCAGCAATATCACGGCGGGGGACATCAGAGATTGGTTTCACACATTGTACTCATGTCGGGAATCGAACCCGGGTCTTCGGTGTGACGAGCGAACGCTTTAACCACTAGGCTACCCGACCACCCCAGCCACACTTCTAAAAATAAACATTTAAGATAAAGACCCATGAAACAAGTCCGGCAATCTTTACATCAAGTTGAATAATCAATATTTTGTGTCAGAGTGTCGCCTATTTGAATACGTTATTTCTAGTTTCCCGAACATTCAGATCGAACGTGTTGCTCGGATGTTGTTTCTCTGTTCTTGTATGGAATGTGAGATGAACATTAATGTGTCAAAAAAATCAAATCCTGTTTTGAAATACTGTAAAACGTGAAATTAATGCGTCTCCAAAAGAATGCGACCGCTGGCCCCTAGCCAAAAATGCGACTCACTATGAATGCGACACCCCCTCCTCTCAAGCATCAGTGGATTTATATCTAAACAAAATGTCCTCTGTCAGGTTTACAGGAGAATCCTCACCTTAATCCAACCTTACATTAATCAAATCACACACCAAATAGGACCGCTTATTAGCGCTGAGTAGAGTACTTCAGCTAAAACAATACAGTATGTAAAAGTGTTTAAACATATGTAAACGTCTTCAAGTATATGGTGTTTGAATTGGTCGATTACTTGAGTATGTCTAAGGACATGTATTAGTGTTCAATTCGTCTTAATGGGATTTGATATATGCACGTAGTCTCGTACACTATGTAAGTTAGGGCATTTAAAACAAAAATATGTTTGTCGATATTGCCGGCCATTATTAAAAGAATATCATGATTTCAACGCATCACAAACTAGCATTTTAACCCTACACATAGAGAACTTCATGCTTTTTGAAAGAATGACAAAATGAATAATAGTTTTACGATGTTGTTCTCTTTTATTCATATATTCAATACAAGCCAACAAATATTAAAACTCTTTTTCCCATTTTATTAGCTCATACTAGTACATGTATTTGTACCTTTAAATACATATATGTTGTTTAAAAGAACAAAAAAATCAACAGTTTCGAATACAAACAAAAAACTTACAAGAAACAGAAAATTAACTTTAAATGTGATGCTATTCTTTGGTTCAGCAGTGTATTCGACGTGTCCAATCACCCTAAGCCCATTCGTCTCTCCTCAATATACTTTCTCTCTCCAATATTTTGACGCTGACTGTTGTACTTGACCAAGACGCTCGTGTTGCTAATTTTATCGATCCAGTAAGTTTCTCTGCCAGACAGATTAGACCTGCAAATACTGTCACACGCCGGCAGCAATCCTTGTTTGAATCAACTTATCATTATCTGCGTGCAATGACCTCAACGATCAATCGGCAATCGCTGATTGTTGCTCTCTCAGTACACAAGCCGCGTGGGTTGTCATTGACGACGTATAAACTGTGACGTAAGCGGAAATGTTGGGGATTATTTACAGCGTTTTATGCCACGCACACAAATCGAACACTTTCGCGAAATAATTAATAAATGAGATCCTATTTGATAAATAATTTATTTGTTTGAAAAGGTGATTCGAAGTTGTTTGTTACCTGTTTCGCGTTACAGCGGTAATCGCGAAGGCATTGTCAAGGAGGTCAAAGGTAACAGGTCACGTCATGACCTTAGTGACAGTCGCCTCGCTGTCAATGATTGTTTACAACGCAGCGGCGTCAACGAAGCGTGAAAAAAAGAGTAACAACGGCGGTAAACATTACAGTCCAGTGAGGGCCTTGTCACAGATACATTTCGGAATATATACGTGAAAACAAGGGACTGTCAATAACAAACTGTCAGGGATTTACAAGGGACAGTCGATCAGTGTCAACCGTTAGACGGAAATCAATGTATCTGAAGCGGCAAATCTCTGGCTATTAACCAGCTTTAAATGTGCATGCAGGGACACAACTGATCGAGGCGATCTGCTGCGCGAGGCGTCACACTGGCTGTGGAAAATTATTCGTATTTCATTATTGTGCATGGACAATATATGTCGGCAACAAATGCATAGTCACAACTCCAGATCATAAACGCTATACATATATGTATATGCGCACAGAAAATCAACTGTGAAACGAAATCTAAGAAGAAAATCGTAAATCCGGATTTTTTAGCCAGAAAAGTGTAACAACCAAATATACACGATTGAACAGATCAGAACAGAACAATCCATATCTTTCACTGTCAGTTGAACAGCAACCTCAGCCGAAGGTTCCATCTCCCAGTTCATCGCCATGTTTAACGCCAACCCCTCACTCATCACTGCAACCCCTCGTTACCATGTTCCTTCTCCTCGTCCTCGCAGCGCCTACCATGACAGCTGCATCCCCAAAGATAAGCAGCTGGCCGCCCCTGCAGCGTCCAGCCGCAACTACAGCGAGGGGGACTTCCGCAAGTGTGACAAGGTGACGCAGGATACAATCTGGAAGGAGGGTGTCTCGTCCGAGAAACGTTGTCTCAAAAACTGGTAAGTAGAAAATGTTTTATTGATAGAATATTTTGCGATTCATGTACAATCTGAAAATGGAACCATAGGCTTAGGCCAATTGGCAGACCTAGCACGTTTGATTCAAGTCGTTCAAACATTTTGTTTGTAACTTAAATTTTAGGGTGTACAGTGAGACCTCGTTAATCAGGACAGTATCGCACCCAGTGGAATTGTCCGGGTCAACACATTTCTGGATTAACGAATCTTTGGTACGGAATCATATTCCTGTATATCCCAACAAGATCGTCTGGTAGTCATGGTTACCAGACTTGTGTGTTTCGGTTGGTTTTTGGTTTGTTGTTTAACGCCGCCCTCAGCAATATTCCAGCTATATGACGGCGGTTTGTAAATAATCGAGTCTGGACCAGACAATCCAGTGATTAACATCATGAACATCGATACATGCAATTGGGATCGATGACATGCATCAACCATCAACCAAGTCAGAGAGCCTGACCACCCGATCCCGTTAGTCGCCTCTATCAAACAAACAAAGTGACGTGTTAAGGACTTGAATGAAACTGAAGCATATTTCAAATTTCCTTAACACGTCACTTTGTTTGTTTGATAGAGGCGACTAACGGGATAGGGTGGTCCCCCCCCCCCCCCCCCCCCCCCCCCCCGGGGGCTGGCTACGGCACTGATATTCACACGTGCATTCATAGTCATTCGGGAAAAAACCCGTTGAGCTGGATGATCTAAAGTAGCACGTGACTTAAATACGTCACAATGAATTCCCTTTCTGCACACGGCACCAGTTTGGACATATTTGTAGAAAAAAACCCCAGTGACGATAGGAATAGCACGACACTGTATTTAAGCCTCTTTATGGGAGGTAATAAACCATTCTTTGGTGACTACCTTAGCACATACTCGCTAGCGTTAGCAACGTTCATAGGTTTACACAGCAATACTGGAGAGGAAGGGGTTCGTCCTATAGACATTCGTTAAGTTTGGTATCCTTACATTCCTGTATTCTCTCTAGCGTTAGTAAAGGAGCGTAAATGAATGCATGTGCATACGTGTTATCTCTGTTCGATCGACATTTGAGGCTCATGGCTGTTCGTGTGTCTTATCATGAGCTTTGCAGTGGCCACCGGACTAACCAACGCGATATATATCTTAAATATACTTGTGTCTATACCAACTGGATTAGATCGAACTTCTAAGACCTGTGACAGAGATTCCATTATGTTGCCAACCAAAGTACGGATTTAAAAGATTATCATATTCAGAATGGCGTCATAACATGAGAGGAAGTTTTGGTGGCCAAATCGCCATAGGCACCGCAATTCACTGTGCGGAGTTGAGTCTCAATGTGTGCCAGAAACCAGTTGTCGTGGGTTCAAATCCCGGTTCGACCTGACCATTTTTCTAAGTTTGGTAGCACCATACCTTTTGTTCTTTGGTTTTACCAAAGTGTTAAACGTCTAAAACCTGCATCATCTCGGTTTTTCCTGCCGGAATATAAATGAATAATTTTATATACTTGTGAACTAGATTTTTTGTTAAGATTTGAAAAAAATGCATTGCACGTGTAGTATATGTTAATATCAATGAGTAGACTTCAAAACTTCGTTTTCGCAATCTCAAATTCTTAAGCAAGGGATCAGTTTTAAAAATTAAAATAATTCCATGTGATTGTTTTTACTACCAAACGTTTGAAATGAAGAAATGAACACACAAAAAAGTGTAAATCAAAGAAGAAAAGACAAAAATTGTATCTGACTTGAATCTTGCACAAAAGCCATATCTGCATGGTATTTTACATTGTCATTTGACCAATCGTCGGAATTCTATTTAGTATTCAGTTTGTATACCCATGGGTATGCTAGTTATATAATTACTGCATCATTTGCCGCCTCTGGATGGTAATGATAATATATTATGGCTCTAAATCTCGGGGAGAGGCTGGAATATCGGTGCAGTTATTTCCAGTGATTTTCACTGAGCATTACAAATCTGGCTTCATGCTGATTGGTCAGTTCACACGTATTATTCCATTGTCTTCGTAGTTTGCAAAGTGACCCATGGCAACATTTCCTCATATAAACTCATTGTCGCAAATAATTAAATATGACTTTATCCATTGTTTATCATGTCACAGACGGTTTTAGGTGACGTTGTTTCAACACTTTGTCCTCACTTGTGAACGGGAAATCCACATCTTCCTACAAGAGGGACTAAGGGTCCTATATAGAATAATATTCTAAGCTACTCTCAGCTCGTAATTACGAATTATCTGTCTCTCGTTCAATTATGATGAAAGTCAAGGGGCAGATAATCCATATTTCTCGGTAGCTCCGACATAACTTTCTATGCGTGTACAACAGAATAGTTAATGGTACTATTGCCTTATGTCTTTCAGGGAAGATAACTGGGGTTTCCTCACCGAATTCGATGCTAAGGTAAGTTGCCCAAGCCGCATGTCTGTCAAATAATGATTTGAAATAATGTATAAGAAAGGGTATCTCAAATTTCCATGTTATGTAGCGTAGCGGTAAAGCGTTGGCTCGTCACGCCGAAGACCCGGGTTCGATTCCCGGCATGGGTACAATGTGTGAAGCCCATTTCTGTTGCCCCCCGTTATAATGCTGGAATATTGCTAAAAGCGGTGTAAAAGCATACTCACTCATATAGCTGGTGCGCGGCGTTCAACAAAAACAAAACAAAGGGATCATTATGTGTTTTAATAATAATAATAATAATGTTTGTTTTACGCAGGGTCAGCCCAAAGAGAAGGAGGAGACTCCCGAAAATCTAACCATCTTTTCCGATGAAATACCTAATACGAATTCCGGTAACTATGGCAACCGTATAGCCTCAGATGTCGGCCATGCTATGCAAAAGATGGAACATAAGTTTTACAGTGACAACAGAAGAAAACGGAAGGAGGAACTTATATGCTACTAAACATAGAACTCTCGGCACACTTCGGTAATATCCGGATACCTTGCATCGAAAATGGATGATTTGCCAACAGGATGGCAGATGCTTCTGAAGTGTGATACATTTTCAAAGTGATAATACAACTTGTACAAGATGTCCACAACTGGACAGCTCAGTACTTAATAATGCTCCGTCCAAAAATATAGCATGACATTAAGTTCAACAGATACGTAAGGGGACACACTGTGAACGTCGAGTGCTTAACATCCAGGGGCCCGTTTCACAAAGCGATCGTAGCTGTACGACTGTCGTATGTCTGTGATAGTATAGTACTTGCGGCAGTTGAAGCGCAAGGACTGCTTTGTGAAAGAGGGCCCTGGAGTTTTGGACCTGAAAACGAGGCGCGCCATCTGATATGCTAACTTTCATAACCTGCCTTGTCAAAGCATATTTGCAGATAAATCTACTTTCTCCAAAGTTACCTTATCATCAATTTACTACACCGTTATTGTTGACTCAGAGAGTAGGAATTAGTGTGCAAATTTAACATGCTATTTACTAATGTAGACATTTTTGTGAACATTGTTAGTACATTTTATGAAATTGTTTTCCGTTGTTGCGTTCTGTTCATTATTTTACTTGTTTACGAGTTAATACAATAGTAGTCTATTTCCTGACACCTAATTCATTGCTATAAATTTGGAAGAGCAGATTTATTCTTAACGTTCACATGTTAATTCGAAAAACGTGATTTTATAAAATGATATGTCAACGTTAAGGCATGCGATGATAAGAACGCCAAATAACCATGCGCGCATCAGTCTTGTCTGTGTGGTGGCGTACCAGAAATTCTGTCTCAACGAATACCCGTAACCAAGATATTTTACTGTGTATATAGTCTTGTATGTTCTGTATTCAGTGTATATTGTACAGTTTGATTTATGTTTGTACATTAATTTATGAAAGATTTCAACAAAGCACATTGCAGCTGTTTGTTTTATGCTTTTTGAATATTTTGTTTAATGTTATATTTTGTTCAGCGTTTATTTTTAATAATAAATATGAGTAAAACCAAATTTCAAACATCAACCTTGAAAATTATCTAGAAGTCATATTTTTTAGAACTGAATGGTCAAATGAATAAATTGAAAATTCTCAAATTATATATTTTTCTGTTATATTGTACTGTTATATATCTCTTGGTCGTTTGGAAAAGGCGTCCGAAGGTTCTAATCGCGGAGAATTGTATCGAAGCTACAAGGGCGCCTAAAGAAGGTGTGAGCACGTTCAGATACGCCCGTTACCTTCAATAATGACCAGGAATCTGTTCCACAAATCAATCGTGGTGCTAAGACTAGCATAACTCCCATACTTTAACATAGACTTACGACAGTCATAGCGCTACGATCGTGTTGTGAACGGGACCCTTGAAGTTCTTGCTGTTGACGTAGCACGTAGCTGGGCGTAGGACGTATTATGTCCGTGTACCTGAAGGCGGAGGCAGCCAATCCTGGACAGTAACAGTGAATCTGACACCTGTATGCCCGTGTATCTGAAGGCGGAGGAAGCCAATCCTGGACAGTAACAGTGAATCTGAACCCTGTATGTCCGTGTACCTGAAGGCGTAGGAAGCCAATGCTGGATAGTAACAGTGAATCTGACACCTGTATGTCCGTGTACCTGAAGGCGGAGGCAGCCAATCCTGGACAGTAACAGTGAATCTGACACCTGTATGTCCGTGTACCTGAAGGCGGAGGAAGCCAATCCTGGACAGTAACAGTGAATCTTGACACGTGTATGTCCGTGTACCTGAAGGCTGAGGAAGCCAATCCTGGACAGTAACAGTGAATATGACACCTGTATGTCCATGTACCTGAAGGCGGAGGAAGCCAATCCTGGACAGTAACAGTGAATCTGACACCTGTATGTCCGTGTACCTGAAGGCGGAGGCAGCCAATCCTGGACAATAACAGTGAATCTGACACCTGTATGTCCGTGTACCTGAAGGCGGAGGCAGCCGATCCTGGACAGTAACAGTGAATCTGACACCTGTATGTCCGTGTACCTGAAGGCGGAGGCAGCCGATCCTGGACAGTAACAGTGAATCTGACACCTGTATGTCCGTGTACCTGAAGGCTGAGGAAGCCAATCCTGGACAGTAACAGAGAATCTGACACCTGTATGTCCGTGTACCTGAAGGCTGAGGAAGCCAATCCTGGATAGTAACAGTGAATCTGACACCTGTATGTCCGTGTACCTGAAGGCGGAGGCAGCCAATCCTGGACAGTAACAGTGAATCTGACACCTGTATGTCCGTGTATCTGAAGGCGGAGGAAGCCAATCCTGGACAGTAACAGTGAATCTGACACCTGTATGTCCGTGCACCTGAAGGCTGAGGAAGCCAATCCTGGACAGTAACAGAGAATCTGACACCTGTATGTCCGTGTACCTGAAGGCTGAGGAAGCCAATCCTGGACAGTAACAGTGAATCTGACACCTGTGTGTCCATGTACCTGAAGGCGGAGGCAGCCAATCCTGGACAGTAACAGTGAATCTGACACCTGTATGTCCGTGTACCTGAAGGCGGAGGAAGCCAATCCTGGACAGTAACAGTGAATCTGACACCTGTATGTCCGTGTACCTGAAGGCGGAGGAAGCCAATCCTGGACAGTAACAGTAAATCTGACACCTGTATGTCCATGTACCTGAAGGCTGAGGCAGCCAATCCTGGATAGTAACAGTGAATCTGACACCTGTATGTCCGTGTACCTGAAGGCGGAGGCAGCCAATCCTGGACAGTACCAGTGAATCTGACACCTGTATGTCCGTGTATCTGAAGGCGGAGGAAGCCAATCCTCGACAGTAACAGTGAATCTGACACCTGTATGTCCGTGTACCTGAAGGCTAAGGAAGCCAATCCTGGACAGTAACAGAGAATCTGACACCTGTATGTCCGTGTACATGAAGGCTGAGGAAGCCAATCCTGGACAGTAACAGTGAATCTGACACCTGTATGTCCATGTACCTGAAGGCGGAGGCAGCCAATCCTGGACAGTAACAGTGAATCTGACACCTGTATGTCCGTGTACCTGAAGGCGGAGGAAGCCAATCCTGGACAGTAACAGTGAATCTGACACCTGTATGTCCGTGTACCTGAAGGCGGAGGAAGCCAATCCTGGACAGTAATAGTAAATCTGACACCTGTATGTCCATGTACCTGAAGGCGGAGGCAGCCAATCCTGGATAGTAACAGTGAATCTGACACCTGTATGTCCGTGTACCCGAAGGCGGAGGAAGCCAATCCTGGACAGTAACAGTGAATCTGACACCTGTATGTCCTGTACCTGAAGGCGGAGGCAGCCATTCCTGGACAGGTACAGTGAATCTGACACCTGTATGTCCGTGTATCTGAAGGCTGAGGAAGCCAACCCTGGACAGTAACAGTGAATCTGACACCTGTATGTCCGTGTACCTGAAGGCGGAGGAAGCCAATCCTGGACAGTAACAGTGAATCTGACACCTGTATGTCCGTGTACCTGAAGGCGGAGGAAGCCAATCCTGGACAGTAACAGTAAATCTGACACCTGTATGTCCATGTACCTGAAGGCGGAGGCAGCCAATCCTGGATAGTAACAGTGAATCTGACACCTGTATGTCCGTGTACCTGAAGGCGGAGGCAGCCAATCCTGGACAGTAACAGTGAATCTGACACCTGTATGTCCGTGTATCTGAAGGCGGAGGAAGCCAATCCTCGACAGTAACAGTGAATCTGACACCTGTATGTCCGTGTACCTGAAGGCTGAGGAAGCCAATCCTGGACAGTAACAGAGAATCTGACACCTGTATGTCCGTGTACCTGAAGGCTGAGGAAGCCAATCCTGGACAGTAACAGTGAATCTGACACCTGTATGTCCATGTACCTGAAGGCTGAGGCAGCCAATCCTGGACAGTAACAGTGAATCTGACACCTGTATGTCCGTGTACCTGAAGGCGGAGGAAGCCAATCCTGGACAGTAACAGTGAATCTGACACCTGTATGTCCGTGTACCTGAAGGCTGAGGAAGCCAATCCTGGACAGTAACAGTAAATCTGACACCTGTATGTCCATGTACCCGAAGGCAGAGGCAGCCAATCCTGGATAGTAACAGTGAATCTGACACCTGTATGTCCGTGTACCCGAAGGCGGAGGAAGCCAATCCTGGACAGTAACAGTGAATCTGACACCTGTATGTCCTGTACCTGAAGGCGGAGGCAGCCATTCCTGGACAGGTACAGTGAATCTGACACCTGTATGTCCGTGTACCTGAAGGCGGAAGAAGCCAATCCTGGACAGTAACAGTGAATCTGACACCTGTATGTCCGTGTACCTGAAGGCGGAAGAAGCCAATCCTGGACAGTAACAGTGAATCTGACACCTGTATGTCCGTGTACCTGAAGGCGGAAGAAGCCAATCCTGGACAGTAACAGTGAATCTGACACCTGTATGTCCGTGTACCTGAAGAGAGCAGCCAATCTTGGACAGTAACAGTGAATCTGACACCTGTATGTCCGTGTACCTGAAGGCTGAGGAAGCCAATCCTGGACAGTAACAGTGAATCTGACACCTGTATGTCCGTGTACCTGAAGGCGGAAGAAGCCAATCCTGGACAGTAACAGTGAATCTGACACCTGTATGTCCGTGTACCTGAAGAGAGCAGCCAATCTTGGACAGTAACAGTGAATCTGACACCTGTATGTCCGTGTAAACAGAAGATCTTAAGAATAATTTCAGCGACCTTGACCTTTAATGAATGTCACTCAAGATCTTAAAATATTACTTCTTCAATGCCCACCCTTAAGAAGATATGAACCTAATGCTATCCTTCAATAGTACATTGAAAAACATCTTTCAGTGGAAAACAGAATGTGACCTTCAGTATCAGTATGCTCCAGGAGTTCGGTCAAACTTTCTTCCAGGCTATGACTTTCAAACTTTGACATGGCTGATCAATGTTTCAAAAACTTCAAATTCTGACAAAACAATACATTCCAATGCACACTGGCTAATTTCACCAGATCATTATCAAATGGCGAACAAATGGCAAAAGGTAGCTTCATGAACATAGTTACCATGGATTTCAAACAGCCTCTCAATCAAGCTCGGACCAGACAAACCAGCTAGTGACACAAGGGTACTCCTTTTGATACAATGGCACCCTATCAACCGAATCACCAAACCAAACCCGACGAAGTCTCTTGTTTGTTGTTTAACCCCACACTCAGCAATATTCCAGCTATATGGTGGCAGTTTGTAATAACTGAATATGGACCAGACAATCTAGTGATTGATATCATGATCATCGATCCAAGCAAATGGGATACAATAACATGCATCAACCAAGTCAGTGAGCCTGACCACCCAATCCCGTTCATTGCCTCTTTCGACAAGAATAGTCACCTTTTACGGCAAGCATGGGTTGCTGAAGACCAATTCTAACCAGATCTTCAATTCTCTAACAAAACACATCTGATACTCTGGGATCATCTCTGAATCTTCATTTCACAGTGAGTGAGTTGGGTTTAACGCCACTTTTAACAGTATTCCAGTTAAATCACAGCGTGTCAGCTTTATGTTGGAGGAAAGCCTGAAGTGATGCAGGTCTCAGACATTTACAACTTTGGTGAAACCCACGAGCACGGGACGCAAGTCTGCACAGCGAATCACGGCAGCTTAGATGACTGGGCCACCCGTGCCCCCTCTTCATTTCAGAAACTCCCCTCACACACACAAACAGTGACGATGAATGAACCCTCCTCCTCTTTGGTTTGGATGTGTTCAAAATACAACAAACAGGTCGGTAAACTTGGAAGTGTTTATTTTGGCAAGCTGTGAGTCCCCTTCTGGCATGTTCTGGCATCTACAGTGCAAGGCATGCAGGTTATCACACGTCTACACACATCAAGCACTGTATGCTAGCTCCCAAACAATCTGAATACAGTCATGGGTCAGCCAGTGTGCTGACTCACCATACAGGAAGTCTTACAACTGGAGCAATCTCATTAACATCAGATCTTTTACTCTCATACACTACCTCTCTGCATGAAGATCTGAGGTTGGGTCAGGTGAACCATCTAACAAGCAAATCAGCTTTGTGGTTTCTAAATTCTTGGAACTCTGAGCGAA